ATTGAGTTCATGTCAAAACTCTAAAAGTCCCAGAGTGTACCGAAAGCATGCATGCCCTCCTTGGCACACCCCTGCATCATCTCATCGTTGCCCTGGCTGTTGCTCGTAATGAAGATGACCTCAGCGCCGAATCTCTTCCATGTATCTCTCAACAACTCCATTGTGTCTGGGCGGCCACCCCGCTTCTTGCTGTCCCAGAGAATCATGCGCTCGGGCTCGATGTGCTTGTGGATAAGGCCTGTGACGGTGGGGCCGAATGTGCGCTCTTGGTCGGAGCCGATCCAGATGAGAAACCAGTTGGGGGATTGAATGCAGGTGGAAAGGGCAGCGCCGATGCCAGTACCGGTGCAGATACGGATGCCGCGTTTGAACATTGCGGAGGCGTGGCCGACGCCGGCTGTAGTCGTGTTAGCAATGGAAGTACAAGTAGAGTAATGCAAGAACATACCGAACTTGAGCTGGCGTGTCCATACAGTCTTAGGCGGGTTCGCGACGAGGTTCTTGGTGAAGTCTCCTTGAACACCACAGATCATGTAGTGATGGGTAGCATTGCGTCCCTCGCTGATGATGCCGAAGGCGTGGTACTCCATGATGGACGTGCGACTGATTCGTCCTAGAAGACCTTGCTGCATGCCGCGCTCGAACTTGAGGACAGCGACTTTTGGTGAGGGGACCTCGACTTCGACTGGTACCTCTCTGAGGGTGACCCATGGGATGAGAATGCTAAGCTTGGTCAGTACGAGAAGCTGATAGAAGTATGCGCGCTCTTACAATACTGTCATGAAGACAGCGAACCATAGCTCTTGTGCACTGAGTAAGCTGTGGGCGTCGGTCCTCCACTCGCCACGCTTGATGTCGTAGGTGTTGCCCATGACCACGAAAACCCATGTCATCTAGGGATCGTTAGTATGAGTTCTCGGAAGAACGCAATCGGGATGCATACTGCGAGGCCTAGCCATCCAACAAATCGGTGATGCTTCTCGAAAACGTTGTGATAGGTGCTGACCAGGGCGTAAGCATGGTGTCACAGAGTTACACGTTCGTTGGAACTACTCACTTGCGAACCCAAGGGAAGGCGCTCAGGACCGAGATGATGATGAAGACGTTGGTGATGATACCGCTAGCGATCACAGCAGGGTGCTGTACGGCACGATATCTGATGATGTCGACGCACTTGTAGATGAGCCAACTGGGCTTTCTGTTAGTACTGTTTGCAATGAATGCATGCAGGTCTACTTACGCAGCACCAGACAATGCGCATCCAGAATGTATCCCTCCAACGTGCTGCAGGACAGATGTCGCAGCTAGCTTTACGCATACTGGTGCCCACTATGATGACTGGTCAGAAAGACTCGTGATAGAGACGGGAGAAGTACATACCCCTAGTCCGTATATGGCGACCATGTATAGGAAGCGCATCCATAACTCGTTCCTGAACAAGATGGCGGAAAGTAGGTTTCCCAGTACCAGAGCACCGAGGTGTTCCTCGCCATACTTGAATCGGCCACATGCCGTCAAGATTATTCCCGTGAGATTGAGTGAGACGACGAATGTGAAGAACTTCCTGTATGTGTTGAACCAGAGGTCAAAGAGGATCCGCCGGCTGATCTTTGGCTTTTGAGGTTTGGCTCCTGCCGGTTTCTTCACGGTTGTGTCCAGTGCGGCAGCGTCGGTAGGTTTCCGTCCCTTTGGCAGTGAGAGCGAGAGCTCCGGTACGCTTGTACATGGTGTTATGCCTTGGTGAACAGGGGAAGCGGGAAGCAATGACGAAACAGTATATGTCGGCCTCTTAGGCTCCATATACACGAAGCCAGGTGCGGTCAACTCCAGTGTACTATCGTACATGCCCTTTTCTGCATCATCGAGCGAATCATCGCTACGATGGCTGGTAAGAGGGCTCTTCGGTGTGAGTGACATATTGCTGGTACGCGGGAACGAGACCAGGGTCCGAGGAGATAGGCGGGGGGACGGTAGGGCAAGGGCAACTGACAGGTGACGTTGGCCAAATTGGTAACAACGCAGGAGCGTTCGAGTGAACAAAGATTGGTAATGAGCACAGGCTAGACTGGGTGCTCTCAAGAAGTACTTATTGGGGAAGCAGCCATGAGGCGCACTGTCGTGTCATCTGGATCATCAAACCTTGCGGCGACACCATCCACAATTCATCTCTGGAGTATACGGTACCAATGTCCGTAAGCATCACAGTCAGACGAGCCCGATGATGGCACATTGTCCCAGACCATCTTCCGTCGATCCCGGATAGATAGCTCCCAAGCTGAACCAGTTGGCGGTCGGCGCCTCCACTCCGTGCTCAGCTCGTGAGGGATTCCCCGTGGGGAGGGCAAGGAAACCTGGGAAGGCCTATGTCGGTAGTTTCTGCTCAACGTTGGGTCAGGAAGACAACCCCACAGCCTCGATATCGATCCGGAGACTTCTCTCGGCCGTGACGACGTCGTCATAACGCATCCGATATTACGGTCGTACAGATATGTCGGCAGGCTAGGATCACGCGATGAAGGTGGAATATTGCAAGAATATACTAGGGGGTCAATGCACTGGCTAGGTGGAACGGCTGGAAGTAACTTTTGGTGAAAGAGACAGGGATATAGAATGCAGTAATAAGGCGGAAGCGCACGTTCCCGATTTCGGGACGTCGTTCAACCGCGTCTAGTTGCATTAGCGAAAACGCGATAACGCGATAGTCAGCCATGCCGAGGTGCGCCCATCGCGAAGTCACTCAATCTAGCTAATCTTGATTTCTAGTTCTTCACGTACAGATCGACGTACTCATCGATGTCCATGTTGTCCAGCGACTTGGGGTCCTGCGCTAACGCGACGAGCTTGTCAACGTGCTGCGACGGGTAGTGCGGGCCGAGATGCCTCTTGTACTTGGCAAGAATCTCGGGCTTTGCTTCCTCACGACGCAACCGATGGCCAAGCGGAGCCTCGACAACCTCTTCCTCTAGCACGGTTCCGTCCTTGAGCGTTACGGTCAAGGCGTTGGAGATGGTGCGCTTCTCAGGGTCGTGGTAATCTTTGGTGAATTGCGGGTCCTCTACACAGCTAATGCGCTGGCGGAGAGACTCGACGAGTTCCGATGTAGCAGCTTCGCTGTCATCTGGGTAGTCGGTGGCTTCCAGGCGGTTGAAGACAAACATGGTGGAGACCATGTACTACCATGATGTCAGCATAGGCGGCGAACCACGAAGGGTGAGACTTACTTGAACGCAGTGATCACGGTCAGCAAAGTTCTCCATAGGCTTGAACTGCTTATCGATGATACGAATGCAGGCCTCATGCGTTCGGTTCACTACACCCTCAATGTCTTTGGCGCTCTTACCCATCGCTGCGAGCTTCTTGTTCAGGCGCTGCGCCGCTTCGACCGCAGTCTGTGAGTGGAACTCAGCTGGACCGAATTAGCAAATGGCTCACAAGTAGCATTGACCTGAAAGAGTCGTCTTACCCGGATAAGAGACCTTGAAGAGAACGTTCTCCATGACGTAGCTGCCATAGCCTCTCTGGAACTGGAAGGGCTTGCCGCCAAAGTTGACGTCGTAGAAGCCCCAGGTAGGAGCTGAAAGAACAGTAGGCAGACCCTGCTCGCCCTTCATGACCTTCAGCACGAGGTTGACAGCGGTCTGGCAAGCATCACCAGCAGCCCATGACTTGCGCGACATGGTGTTGGGCGAGTGCCTGTAAGTACGCATAGACTGGCCATCGACAAACGCTTGCGAGATGGCATCCCGAGTCTGAGCCTCGCTGAGACCCATCATCTTGGAAACGACAGCTGTGGAGGCCAGCTTGACCAGAATGACGTGGTCCAGGCCGACCTTGTTGAAGGAGTTCTCCAGGGCCATGCAGCCCTGGATTTCGTGTGCCCTGATCATGGCCTCGAGAACATCTCTGACCTTGAAGATCTTGCCATTGCCGAGATTGCCTCCAGCCTTGTTTGTGCGTGTAATCCAGTCGGCAGTTGCGAGGATCGCTCCCAGGTTGTCGGAGGGGTGGCCCCACTCGGCAGCTAGCCAGCAGTCGTTGAAGTCGAGCCATCGGATCATGGCACCAATGTTGAAGGCGCCGTTTATGGGGTCGAGTTGGTAGTTGGTACCGGGCACCTTGCAGCCGTTGGGGACGGTGGTGCCTTCCACAGTGGGACCTAGGATCTTCCTGCACTGCTCGAACTGCAGCCCCTCAAGACCGCAACCGAGCGTGTCAACGAAAACCCAGCGGGCGGTGTCGAACTATACGAGGCTTGATTAGCCGCGATACTCGCTGAGAGTGCAATTAGCTTACCGCAAGCTCGGAGTCGATGGGGGTGTTGTGGATGTAGTTTGCCATGTCCTTGATCTCAGGATCATACTCGCGCTTGCTCAGCGTCTGAGGCATGGAGCTCTTGAGGGCCGTCATGGTGGAGAAGGATGATGCGGTTGCTGTGCGCGAAGTGGTTGGGGTTGAAGGAGCAGTTCGCAGAGCAATTGGCCTTAGAGCTCTCGATACGACGCTGGACCGTGATCGGAGGTTTCGTGAAGCGGTGCTGCACAGGTTGCGACTGAAGGCCGACATGTTGATTAGCGTCTGTCGTGCCGGACGACGTCAATGCAGCTTTGAAGAAAAGGGACAGTCGTACTTCGCGCTTTTGAGGGAACTGTAGGTCTTTGAGGAAGTTCAGGACATGAGCATCGCTCGGCTCGCAGAATTCGGGAGGATGGATAGACCGCCGTCAACCGAGGCAGTACATATCCGCCATCCGCACGGAAATGTCTTGCAGCGGCGGCATCACAGGCTTCACTATCATTTTCTTTCACTACATATGTCTTTGATGGTAATACTGCGCTTTTATGGCAGCCGAAATGACCTCATCTTGTGTGCGACTGCCTGCCCGCAATCTCACTTGACTTGCTACCCCGCATCATCCCGCACATGTGCGCGGCAGGTACGCTTCGGCTACGGTGGCTGGGTCCCGCTTCCACATGCCTGCAAAGCCGCAGAGCCTCCGAAGACTAGACATTGAATCGTATTTCTAGATCTTCATACTCATCGTCGACGTCCCGGTCAAGCGCTTCGTTCGCCGCTGTTACACTTTCCTCGATCTCCGCCTCTAACCAGCCAGCATCTTCCCCTTGCAGCACTCGATCCCAGGCAGGAAAGCGGCATACATCAATCGTACCATCGATCCTACCATCAAATGCACTACCAGGACGCTTTACAGCATGTTCCCTATAGCCAACCAACATGCCCAGTCTACTCAGCCTCAGCATCCATCGCTTGACCTCTGCGAGTTGATATCCAATAGCCAACAATAAGGATATTTCCAAGAGAATATCCTTCTCCCTTGAGAATGCACCATCCTCGTCGACACCATCGATGAACGCATGGCCTCCAACGTACCAGAGAGTGAAGATGTAGTTCCAGCAACAGCGCGACACGGAAGCAACGGCACAAAGCTTTTCGTACAGCAACTGTTCGTTCTGCATGCTGTAGTCGGCTGATAGATGCTGGGCGACAAGGACGCAGTTCTTGATGCGGTGTGCCATGAATTGAGCAGTGCCGTCTCCAGAGTAAAGCTGCGTTTCGCGGTACAACGCCGATGCGAGAAGAGTATCGCGCAGGGAACGATCCAGGCTCGATTGCTTCTGTATGTCATATACGACGAATGAACGGTACGGCAGCTGGGATAGAGTCAGGTGCTGATGTAACAGCCGCTGTATCTCCTTGTCAAAGGTATCTAGTCTGGAAGTCAGTTCTTGGACCTTGCAGTCAATGCATTCTTGTACTCACGACACACGAGACGCATCTCTAGCACCTTACGTATGCCATAGCATTGCCGCTCTTTGTGCAGCAAGTATGGGTCCAAGACATATCCAATGATCTGACTCCACAGCTCCACCGGCAAGGCCTCGACACCATCGAGACATGACTGCGGAATCTGTCTCAACCTCTTTTTCGCCTCTTGAGCAAGTCTCGCTTTTTCTCGCGCTCTCTCAATCATGCGAATGGTGTATACGGCGGGAAAGCTGACGGCGCAAAGACCACCCATGACCCCATTGAAGATTGAGATGGGGATCTCGGGGCTGATACAATACCATTCTTCCAAGAGAATATATAATCTTCTAGAACCCAAAGTTTTGCCATCAGGATACATTGCGGTAAGTGAGCATGTTGGACAACTCGCGGGTGCGATGTATGAAGTTGACGAATCCTGGTGCCTGATTTCCCAGCCATCCCGGACCCGCGTACGTGCTTGGCTCCTTCCACAACCACCAGCAGAGAAAGTAGACAGTAGCTTTTAGCATTCTGTGTAGCAGATAATTTTTTATCCGGAACACTACAATGAACACTATCCTCCTTCTGAAATCTCTCGTTCGAACGCCTCCAGCTGCCAATGACTTGACGCAAGAGCCTACATCACAACTCCAGGGTATCGTCGCTCTCCCCACAGAACTATGGAGCATCATCATCGATTACACAGTTATACACCTCATGGATGAAAATACACATCCTTCCGACGAGCTCACAAAAGCGCTCGATCTGCGACTTGTGTGCCGTGAGTTACAGAGACACTAACGCAGAACCCGGCCAACTAATACATATCCTAGGGACGTTCAACAAAGAAGTCCTACACGCTCTCAACACCAATATAACACTCGAACACTTCCCTCGTACATCATCCACCTACTTGCTCCTTTGGTGGTCTCATACCCAACGCAAATCTGGCCTCCATACTAAGCTCTTCATCTCTGCGATTCTGAACACAGCCCATACAACAAACCTCCCCATTGTCTCTCAAAAGCTAGCTGCGCGTCTTCTGAATTGTCTCACGGTGGCCGAAAGTCTAGACAGATTACATCACGCGCCATTTTATGAATACCTCGGAAGCCTAGAAGAGCCTCCGCTATGGGACTTCTATACGGTGAATAAGCTGTACCGACTTTGTCATGCAGCAGCACTGTCAACCTGCTGTCAAGAGTACATGTGCCGGCCTGAACACTTTTACGCTAGATATGGGGAGAAGGGGAGGCTAAAGGCAGATGTGTGTCTAGAGGTTGCGCTATTGGCGGCTTGTGGATATGAAGTCAGGAGGATTAAGGATGTGATGGTTCGGCTTGCGAAGGCAGGGGAACTAATAGGGCATGGGACGGTGTCTAAGATGTGAAGACGATGGTTTTGAAGATGAAGAATATACTTTATCATTCTTGGTATTAACTAACACTCTCACACCAATCAGCCAAGTAGCTCTTCTCTTGAGATTGATATCGGCGGTCCTACCACTGTGTGTCACCCAGATACACGTTCTCATAACTCTTTCCACGTCCTCATATCGTCTGACTGGGTGTCGCAGGTTCCTCGGCGTTGTGATGAGGTCGTGGTTGGCTTGGCTTGTCGATTCGTCGCTAATTCTGAATTCTACACGTTTACCAATCATCTTTGTCGGATTCGTCGTCTGTAAACACGTCAGCATACTGCTAATCCAGCGAGATGAATTGAACTTACCACTGTGACTAACTTTTGACTTCCTTGCCGCAAGAGCACTAGCCAGTGCTCCAGCCAAGCCAGCATCTCCAGGTGTAGCTGCACCACTGGCTCCTCCAGAAGCTCCTCCAGCAGGTTCCGCGCCAGGAACTGCCGCTGCACTGCGGTCCTTTTTCTCTGTATCTGAAACCTTCTTCAATCTCGCTCCTCCTCGAATATCCGCTAGCAAGCCGTCTCGCCCTGGCGCTGGTTTGGGCAGAGGCGCACCGCCGCTCGGTGGGGGCGGTGGGCCAGGTGGAGGTGGTGCTACAGCGCTTCGTGAAGGCATTGGCGGCGGCGGAGGAGGCACGGAGCCAGGAGGCATTGGCGGTGGCGGCGGTGCGCCTGTGCTTGGCATAGGGGGTGGAGGAGGCGCTGAGCTGTTGGGCATCGGTGGAGGAGGAGGAATCGATCGTCCTGGCATCGGTGGCGGTGTCGGGGCTACATTGCTTGTTGGGGGTAGAGGCGGTGGGACTGGTGCCGCGCTCGAAGGGGGTGCTGGTGTAGGTCGAGATGAAGATGGCGGTAGCGGAGGAGGCGGTGGTATGTTGTGGACAGGCGGCGGTGTCGGGGCTGCCGATGTCTTCGGTGGGAGTGGAGGAGGTGCGGATGGCGTGTCTCTCGCGGGAGGCGGTGGAGGAACTGGCCCTCGGCTTGGGGGTGGTGGAGGTGGGCCGGAGGGTACGCGATTGCCTGTGAAGGGCGGAGGTACACCGAACTTGCCTCCCACTGGCCTCTCTTCGTCGGGTACGGGTGTCTTGGGCGGGCGCGGCGGCGGTGGAGGACCTGGGTTGGCTGCGTTGGACGAGGCTCGCGATCTGCCTGGTGGTGCCGGGGGTAGATTGGCGAACTTTCCTGCTTCCGCAAGTGGTGGAGGCGCCCTGAAGACTGGTTTGGGTGGCCCTGGAGACGGTGAAGCTTCGCGCGGTGGTGATGGCGGCGCAGGGCTTCCCGAAGAGTTGCGATTGAGGGCTGCGTCTGTCCTCGTTCTTCGCGCTGGCGGAGGCGCGGGCGGAGGTCCTCGCTTGGAGCCACCTGTGTTCTGAGGGCTGAGAGATGCGGCCATGGGAGGCGCGCTCGGTGGAGGAGGCGGAGGCGCTCTGGATTTGCGCTGGTTATTCTCATCCTTGAGCTTCTCCTCTTGCTTCCGCTGCTCGATGTATAGCTTGATGAAATCGGCGTTTTCTTCGATCTGGTCCTCGGTGATACCCATTGCCAGCAGTTCCTTCAACAGCGGCTGCCATGATGGGTCGGTAGTGTCGATGGCGGAGTTTCGAGCGCTTGTGGCATTGGAGTGGGTGCTCTGCACAGGCGATGTGACGCTGACGGGTGGAATAATAGACGCTGGCGGCGGGCCGGGTGAGGAAGAATGGCGGTCACGTCCGGTGAGCCTTCCCAGCAGGCCGTGGCCATGGCCGCCGCCCTTTCCGTTGGCTGCGGGCGCGCTGGTGCCTGCGGATGCGCTGAAGGGTTTGTTCTTGGTGTTCTTGTGGGCGTTCTTTTCGCGGTCGTCGAGCTTCTTCTTGAAGGTCTTGGCCTCCTTCTCATCGGCAAAAGACAGGCCGGCGAGACAGTCCTCGAGCTCAAAGGTGTGGAAGAAGACGCGGTCCTGGTTGTACGAGAAGGTGTCGTAGATCTCCTGGTCCCAGATGACACCGCGACTTTGGGGCTGCATCCGTCAGTCGTGCATTCTGTGCTGCGGCGTCCCTCGCACCTACCGATATGTCCACCATCTTGAGCCAGAAGGTGTTGCCGACCAGGTCGTTGGCCAGCACGACGGCGCCCTGCAGGCCCGTGTAGGTCCATCGGTGCCGGTCCGGGTAGGCGATGTACAACTTGGCGACAGCGACGGTGTGGATCTTGTTGGCCGACTTGGGCACGGTGCGCTTGACCGTCTGCTTGTCCTCGTCGGAGAGAATCGAAGGCATTGCGGCGTGCTTCGCGACCTCGAGCGCGGAATTGGAGGAGGTTTGGGCGTGCTCGAGTGCTCAGCCGTTGGGATTGGGCTTGGGCGTGGCTGGTGGGGCGTGCTCCTCACTCCACTGTTAGGCAGCACATGGGAAGAATCGCAGTCGCTTGGTAAGCCAGTCGAGGCTGCATACGGATGGCGAGGTGAATGATGCGGTGCCGCGTGGAGATTGCCACGGTGTTGGTAAGAAGAATGGCGGTGCTGGTGAAGGGGAGACGTCACTTGCGGCTAACCACCCGACTGGGCGGACAAGGGAGAAACCCATCCAACGCTTTCTGCCCCGTCACGTTTGCCGACCCACAGCAACCTCATCCGTAATCCATGGATCCATACAACGGCTTCAAATCATCACGAGATTCCACTTTCACTCTGCTCTTGGAAAATGCAACATTGACACAAAATTCCCGCCATTGCACTCGCTGAAGGCATCGCGACTTTCTCACGCGACACTGCGTCCGCGAGGCCAGTGCGGGACCAGTACCCTGTCAAGATGACGACTTCTCAAGCTCCTTTATGCCTCAGCTTCATGCATACATTCGTATGAGAAGACATGCACGCACCCAGAGTTCATGGCCTCTAGCGTCAATTGTCTTTGTAATACTCGGATCCAGCGCCGCTGACGCCGACTTTCCGACTACAAGGCCTCCAGCGAACGATGACACCTTGACGGCTTGGCATCATCCCGGTTGATTCAGGCAACAACACCGGCGACATGGAAAATTGTAGATTGCAACACCATATCTATATCTTTACTTGACGTATTCGCAGTCATGGACGATTTGTTTGATGGCTACATTGTGTTGGACGGCATAGGCGACTTCCTTGGGGACAGTGTTCCTGCCAACGATCCCAAAGCACCTGACGATGTTCCGCAAACGATACACCACGCAGGAGTATCGAAGCAACCCATACGACCAAAAGAAAACAGTGTGAACGGATCTGACCAATCGTACGATTCTCACGCGATGCACAGAACTATACCTAACTCACATCTAGCAGCACCACCGCCTCTAGCGGCGACACACCCGCGCTGACAGGGTTACGACAGCGACGCGGACACACTAAGAGTCGTCTGGGCTGCATCCCGTGCAAGCGACGCAAGATCAAGGTACCGCATCCGTTTTCCGGTGCCTCGTATACCGCTAAACTATGTTAGTGTCCAGAGACATGGCCTTCATGCGCGAACTGCGACAAGCGTGGACGTAAGTGTAGCGTCGTGAACTAAGATCAACGTCTCACCAACTATTCCAGTGGTTTGTAGATACCCCGATGTATTCAAGCATGCACGGCGTGACTGCATCGAATCAGTAGTGGCAAGTCCTCGTCAAGTTGTCAAGCTTTCCGATACGCCTACTATCTACAGCTCAGAAGATATGCAGCTGTTTCATCACTATCTCGTCTCAGCCCATCCTTGGATTCCACACGACTGGGAAGAGCTTTGGGTTAAAGATGTCCCAGCAGCGTGCCACAAAGTGAGTGCAGCCTCAGGTTTATATGCAAGAGACCTAACATCACTGACCACTCAGTACCCGTATCTCATGGACGCTATGCTAGCTCTTGCTGGATCTCATCTTGCCGTTCAGGTTGAAAATCCACAGACTGCCCTGGCGGTGCAACATCGACAAAAAGCCATCGTTGGCCTCGAGGACGCCTTCGCTAATTGGCCCCCGACGGCTGAGGAATCGTATATCATGTTAGCAACCTCTTACCTGCTGTGCTTCCAGTCAAGCTACATAAGTGACGGCTTTCTCGAACACTTTTTATCTTTGCGGGGATGCTCATTCCTCTCTCAGCTTATCATAGACGAGGGTTTCAGCAGCCCTTTCTCCACACAGAAAGGCTTGAGCATGATAGCCATGGACACAGCATTTACCAAATGTCCTGAAGTCGACCAGGAACTTTTGCAACAGGCTCTACTGTCTTTGAAAGCCCTTTCTAGTGCAATGACCGGAACTGGTGTACATCCCATCGAGAAGGCCATTGTCGGCCAGCTCGCCGAAACACTTCGACTCCTGCTGCATTCAGACCTGGAAAAAGAAACTGATGAACTTCCAAAACGTCGTGACTCGATGTTGGATCTCTTCCCGTTCGCCAACCCGATCTTACCACAAGGATTCGGGCTCGCATTTGACAGCATCGACTGGGAAAACGTTACGGATCCACTCCCTGGCGCTCCGTACCCCGTTCGGTCTTTTGCAGCTATGATGGTCATCCTCACGATCTTCTCAACCTGGCCACATGAAGCACTCATGCGCATGTTTGACCGCACAAATCAGCTTGGCAACGTCATCATGGCCCACTTTTGCGCCGTGCGATTCGTCTTGTCCTCACTAGCTGCACCAAAAATGGCCTTGAAAACCCCTACAAGGGCGACTGTTCAGTGGAATGCCTTGATCATAGCTGCTGTAGACGATGACAAAAGTGGAGAATGGACGGAATATGTGGAATGGCCAAGAAAGATATTACGATGTATGGAGGCTTGTTGTGAGAGACACAAAGGCTTTACCATGGAAGACGTGCGCAGCATGCTGTTGAACGATCCTGGAGCATTCAAAGAAGGAAGAGCACGTAGATACTGACGATCGAACCATGATGGCTTGAACATCAACTGCGCATACACCATTCTTCTTAGTCTGCTTTCTTACACGTCAGCTCTGTGTATATTAGGAGAGATATTCACCCACCTCTTATTTCCCACGTTCACCCAAGTTCATCAGTGAAACTCTCGATCCGTGCAGTACCCTGCAGGCGCCTCTACAATACGCCTACCTCTCACAACACGCGTACTATAAATATGGGTCGATCGCGAAGGAATCGCATAAGATCGTTTGCTCAAGTGAAGGAGGGACTACGCGGTCGGTGCTCGTTGGCTAGCCCGCGCCATCACTCTCACCCCCCTCAACAGCGATCGGGAAGTACTCCCACTCTCATTCTCCTGCGTAAAACGAAAGACCCCAACGGCTACCGGAAACAACAACACCCACTACCGTCGCCATGCTGGAAGCTCTTGTGATGGCTATCTTGAGGTTTCTGGCTCGCATCCTACTACGATGCATCAACTTCTGGACTTTCATCACCAATCTACCTGCGAGATGTACACGCCTTGTGTTAGCCCTCCTTAATTTCGAACCAATCGCCTGGCTCGGTTCGGCTATAGCGCTTGCCCTATTCATGATGGTTCGCACAGGTTACCGGACGATTCTGGAAACCGCGAAGCTACTCGCCCTCAGAGAGGAGCTTGAGGCTGAGCTCGAGCGTCATGTCGCGCTCAGAACAATCAGATGTGCGTATCTTTTCACTTATATTGGACAAGTAACTGACGTTACACAGTCAATCGGGTGCGCGCGGGTACTTACGACGAGGGAACTGTCGTGCAGGGTATCCACATCATTGCAGCGGACAAGTGGGATATGGTTATCTGCGGAATGGAAATTGCAGGTGGACGTCGGGATGGGCATTATTGGGCTCGCGTACGTGGAGCGGATGAGTGGATCAAATTCGGAAGCCAGCTCGTCATCAACGGCAATGATGTTACTGAAGAGGTGGTGAAGTCAGGTGGGCACGTGGATCTCCAATGGGCAGAGACAGAGACACCACCAGAGTACAGACAAGACGCAGAGAGCATCGGGATATAGCGAGGGTTCTACCCGTACACAGGACATTTGACGACTACCCAGTCGTGAGCCCAATCCTATTCAAACAAACCGGTTCTACAAGCCTGGCCTTATCATCACATTTACACCTACACCCCAGCTCTTTCCTCCCATCCCCATCGCTGTCCTCGTACCTCGGTATCTTGATCCCCTTCGCCTTCTCATGTTCTGTACTCGCAAAAGTACAAACCTGCAAACCATCGTGTATATACCCCCAATCACTAAAATGATGCAGTTCCTGGGGCTGCAGTAACATGGCTGCAGCCAGCGAATGCACAGGCGCATCACCCCACCTCTCATAGTAAAATCCGCCGTCACGATCTAGATAATCGAAGACGGCTCGATACGCATCTCCACGGAAGAAATCCATATCTGCAATCTCGAAATTCGACCAAAAGTGACACATATTCCACAGATCACCGCGCTCATCCCTATTGCGCAGCGCAGCCAGCATGCGACGAAAGGGCCACGGCATCCAGCTTGCGTCGATCATGGCAGTCCAGAGCGTGGAGGTGGGGAGGCGGTATTCGTTCTTGTAGAGGGAGAGTTTGCGGAAGAGGGAGGGGACGGTTTGGCCGCGCTCCCAGAGGGCGGTTGTGTAGCCGTAGCGTTTCTTGTGACGGGCCATTTCGACAAAGGGGTCGTAGGTTATGGCGCAGGTGAAGGAGATGCTGGGTTCGACGCGCCAGTAGTATTTGTAGGGGAGGAGGGCGGGGTGGTCGTAGAAGAAGCTGTGGGGTTGTTGTCAGCGTTGTGCGCTACGTTTGTGAGAGGCTTGGAGTGGACCATGCGACGTACCCAGATTGAAAGCGGCACATATGGTGGTAGCTCTCTAGTCCCCCGTATTGTATACCCCGGTTCTTCATATCCTGCATGCTCTCCTTCGCACGGTCTTGGTCGATCCATTCGGGGTACCCCCACATCTCCTTGGGTATGACTTCGAACTTGACGTCTGCGCCTTCCCCTACTGCTTTGCCCACTTTCCGCTTGAAGTCCTCAGTCCATTCCTCGTCATTTAGGAAAACCCACGGATACCCAAAGTTGTCGTTGAACTGCTCCTGCACGCTTCGCACGCTCGAGACTGCGCCCTTGACTTCCGAGTTGCGCGCGAGCATCATGAACACGGCAGATTCGCGCGCGGTCGTATTCAGGACGGGGTGCTGACATCCTGTGTAGAAGGGCGCATCGAGGGGCGGCGACGGGCGGGGGACATCGTATTTGTGTACGTGGACGTATGCTTCGACGAGCAACAAAGAAGCGATAGCCAAGATCAACTTCCAGTGCGACTGCGCTGTGCGCAATAGTG